TCCACTTCCTGTGACCCCTCTTAGCTCAGTTCACCCACACAGAATCCCTACCCCCCAGACTTCTTATTTCCACACAGCTGTGATTTTCTGGATTCCACAGATCACACAAAGGAAAAACACACACACAAACCCCATCTTTCAGATCCAAATATTTATTTTCACCTCTTAGATCTAACTACCAGAAGCTCAATACGTGGATAGAAAAATATCACTAGTTAAAAAAAAATGGATAAAGAATTAAAATCAGCCCTACAGAAAAATATTTGAATTAATCTAACACCTCTCCCTTAAAAGCTACATAGTGAGAAGGCCCCAATACTTCCATGAGTAGATTTCCTTCATTAAGTCTCTCTCAACTCATCATAACATTGAAATAATTGGAGCGAGATCTCTGTGTTATGACATCTGATGAAGCTGCAGGAGAAATATCTCTGGATTATAACATCCTGTGAAGTTGCAGGAAAAAGTTGTCTCTTTCCTGCTAAAATGAAATCATGCCAATCCCTCTACTACCGCCCTCCCCGTGTTTCTAAAGATTCCCAGATTAAAATACGCACACCCTCCCCTCAAAAAGAAAAAACAAAACAAAACAACCAAGGCTAAAAAGAAATCACTTTAAAGGGGCATTTTAACAGCAGTCACTTCTCTAAAACAATCTGGGTTTCCTTTGGTTTTAGAAAACACTTCCCCACTTGAATCAAAAGAGCAAACAATTGACTTAAGAGAGGATGGAGAGTGGGTGGAAGACCTGGCTAAGCAGACAGCAGGGATTCTAGCTAGTTACTCTGAAGATTCAGTGGCCACCACTGTCAAAAGCAGCGAGTGATTCAGTGTCTCAGTTTTTAGGGGACTCAAATTGGGGGACGCCACCTTACAAGGAAAGTGATTCCCCCGAAAGCGCTGAGTGCTCGCCCTCTGAAAATCAGACTCAGACTGAGCACCCCCAAAATAACTAGCCAGTTTGGAAAAAATCTTAGCCATTTGCTTTTTCTCCTCCTTCCCCCTCTCTCACCCCTTTCTTCAATCACAGCTTTTCCGTGCCACATCTTGATGCAACCTTGTTGTTCTAAAAAGTCCTGGTGTTAAGTGAATTCTTCACGCAGCCCTGCCGCAGATTTAAAAACTGCCCCCGCCTAGGGTTGGGCACCTGCTTCTGGTTGCTGTGCACAATCTGAGCCTGGCAAGTCTCTGGTTGTTGAGGGCACTTGGCACAGGGCCAGAGAGTGCCATTATGTTGCAAAGAACAGATCACAGAAATCTAGATTTCCATGGCCACCTCTGCTGCAGCCAATAGATCCCACTTCCCTCCAAGAGCCATGGATACAGCCCAGGCGTCCTAACTCCCAACCTCCCCTGCTCTAATCCACTCTACGCTTTTCCCCTACCAGAGGTGGGAAGAAAACCCAGAAATCCTGACTTGTTGAATCCCGTCTCTAACCTACACAGCTCCAAGACCAGACGAATCACCTTTTCTGCCTTTACTTACGTATAGATAGTTCCACCGGGCTGTTGGGTTTTTTTATAAAGAATTCTGCCTTGCAGGCATAACTCCACCAAACTCCAACGACAGCTTTGCCTGTAGAAATACAACAGGGCTGGGGGAAGCTCTGGGGTTTATTCTTTAAACCTTAGAACCACTAGGAATGTGTGATCTTATTTTATTTCCCTATGAAGCATCAGGTGAGGAAGCTCGAGAGCTTAACAGAACTCCCAAGGCAAAGGGTTGGTGAACTTTTAACAAAGAAGATTTTTCTCCAGAGTGTCTGTTATGCTGTGATGTACATGGGACTGTTGGTAATATTTTTATGATCCATATGTGTGTCTCAGTTTCCCTGTGCATTTTGTATGGCTACACACTGAGTAGAGCGAGGAATGAGGGCTGGCAGAATGGCAGGTGGACTATCTGAAATGGTACTAAGGTGTCTTTAGGAGCAGAAAAGAATCAACACACCTGAATGAAAGATCCGGAAGACATAATGGGAGCCCCAGTGACTGAACAAGAACACTGAGCTGCTGGGCCTGGAAAGAGCAGGCAACTTCCTCCGACACTCTACAGGGAGGAAAGAGCTCAGTATCACTGCTAATACGCAATGGGCTGCATCGCTCCCTGAGACAAGAATGTCTCCGCAGAAGTCTGATCTCAGTCGGACTCGCTGTAGGAGCTCCCGGTGGCAAACCGGGGTGCTGGAGCCTGAAGACCCAATCCTGGAGTCAGAGAGGCCACATGGCCTCCCCTGGTGGAACTGTGTGTCCCCCTGAGGTCTGCCACACTAAATAAAAGGGTTACTCCCAGGAGACTGTTTAAAGGACGGGATGTAGCACAGACCCTGTAAACCCATGTCTGATGGGGCATGCACCCCACACCACCTCTGAAGGGCTTAATGTGGCTAGTTGGACCAATTAACCAGCAAGGCTGCACCTGGAGGGGAGCCAGGGAGCAGAGAGGACTAATTAAAGGTCTGTAGTCACTCTCTGGGGCTTGGGAGAGCAGGGAGCTTGGCCTAGAGGGAAAGGCAAACCCAGAGGGGGATAGAAAAGAAGCTAGACAGAGACAACATATGAAGCAGACCAGGGAAACAGCAGTCATGTGTGGGACACAGCAGGCCTTAGCCACTGGATGTAGTGTCCCTGGGCTGGAAGAGGCCAGGTCTGGTTCCCCTACCAGCCACTGGGGAAATGGCTCCATTGATGGGCAGTGAACTGGAAGACTGCCTAGGATGACTGGTACAGAGAGACGTGGGTACACAAACCCCCCCGGAAGGGGAAAACTACGGTGAGCTGGCCAAAGGGCCAAGCCACGAAGAGGGAGCCATTGAGTCCAGAGAGAGAGACGGAGTGAGCACATGCAGTAAGGGGTGTCAGACTGGCAGAGCTATTCCCCAGCTGGGGCCACAAGAAGGTGCTCCAGTGGTGAGCAAAGCATTCCATGATGCTATGTAGGCATTTGAGTGATATAAATATTAACACAGGCAAAGAATCTGATAGGCTCACTTTGTTGACACTTATCTAACTCAGTTATCCAAGGAGCATATTGGAGAAAAATCCTCATGGTTAAAATTTGTGTCAAAACTTTCAATGGTGACGGTCAGTGCCCAACTTTTAATGGTTAAGGGGGCCCAATTTTGAGACAATGCTGAGCACTTCCACCTGAAAATTAGACCTCTAAGGTATCTCACAATGGACGTCCTCCAAGATTGCTACTGAAAACTCCTAGCCTTAACTTATGTTTGAAAGCCATTCTCCACATTCAATCAGGTTTAACTGATCAGACCCAATTCACCAGTCTTCCCAAGAGACTTCCAAGTTATACAACTCCCAAATGTCTAACGTACAAGTCCCAAGCAAGTTGATTCCCTACGCCCCTTCCTCACGCTTTGTTTTGTGCATCATAAAGTAGCAAAATTGAAGGGCACAATCCCCAGTTTTATTTCCCTTTCCAGAATCTCCTTAAATTTCTTCTGTTGGTTGGTTGAGATAAATGAGACATCAATCGTGGAGCTTAATTACTGCAAACCAGACTAAAAAAAGACCTAGAGATCTATGCTCTACAGCTAACTCAGAGCATGAACAAAGCAGGTCAACTGAGAGCCACTTCTGGCTTAGAGAATTACTCACCAAATAAAGAATAATATGCACTTTTCATCTATGAATCTCAAAACACTGTAGAAAAAAGCTGGGTATCATTATTCCCATTGTACAAAGAGATGGGGCTGGAACCCAGGAGTCCTGATTCTCCCAGCCCCTTCTGATATCAGCCCTAGACCCCATTCCCCTCTCTAAGGACTGAACCCAGGAGTCCTGACTCCCAGCCCTAATCACTATGCCACACTATATTTGCTTATTTCCTCTCTACAAATCTACACATCAACGCTAGACAAGTTACCTTAGCTCTTCCTGCCATTTTGGGATCTTCGCAGAGGCCATCAGCACCTTGATCCAGTGGAGGGGTGAGGACGGGGGCTTCTAGGGCACTGGCATGCATTGGGGGTAGGAGCCAAGACTTCCGAGATGGATGGGTATGTCTTGCTGAGCAATGGGGGTGGGAAGAGAGGAAGCCAATTTACTCTCTATAAAGGTGCCCTTGTCCCTCCCAGCTACCCCAGAAGGCACATCAATGTCCTCCTCTGTAGTGGCCCCTGTTCCCCAGGACATGTCAATTTCACCCTCTCGAGTGCCCCCCTGTCTGCTGGGTGTCTACTTGGCATGCGTCCTCTGGTGCTTCATGAGCGCGGAGCTGTCTCCAAAGCCCTTCCCGCAGTCGGTGCATTTGTAGGGCCGCTCTCCGGTGTGGGTGCGCCGGTGGTTGGTGAGCCTGGACCTATTGATGAAACCCTTCCCACACTCGGGGCACTTGTAGGGCCGCTCCCCGGTGTGGATGCGCTGGTGGTTCATCAGGGATGAGTTGCAGCGAAAGCTCTTCCCGCACTCGGTGCACTTGTAAGGCCGGTCTCTGCAGTGGATCCGCCGGTGCCGCATGAGCGACGAGCTCTGGCTGAAGGTCTTGCCGCACTCGGGGCAGCTGTAGGGTCTCTCTCCGGTGTGGATGCGCCGGTGCTTGATGAGGTTGGCGCTTTGGCTGAAGCTTTTCCCGCAGTGGCCACAGCTGTAGGGTTTCTCCCCAGTGTGGATGCGCCGATGCTGGATCAAGTTGGAACTGCTTATGAAGCTCTCGCCACACTCAGCACAGCTGTAGGGCTTTTCGCCCGTGTGGGTGCGGACGTGCTTGGCAAAGGATCCCAGGCTGAAGCTCTTCCCACACTCGCTGCAGAAGCAAGGCTGCTCCGCAGCATGGGTGTGGTAATGCTTCACCAGGGTGTAGTTGCATTTGAAACTCTTCCCACACCTGCTGCACTGGTAGGGCCGCTCGCCCGTGTGGATGCGCTGGTGCTGGAAGAGGTGAGAACTCCGGATGAAGCCCTTCCCGCACTGGCCGCACTTGTAGGGGCGCTCCCCGGTGTGGATGCGCTGGTGATCGATGAGGTTATATCTGAGGACAAAGCACTTCCCACACTCGGTGCACTTGTAGGGCTTCTGGCCCGTGTGGATGCGCTGGTGCTGGACCAGGTGGGAGCTCTGGCTGAAGCTCTTCCCGCAGTCTGAGCAGCTGTAGGGGCGCACCTCAGCCTGGGCTTGGTTGTGCTCTGTCACCACCCTGATGTCTGTCTCATCTGGAGATATCACCTCTGTCTCCTGCTGCCGTCCAGTCCCGCTGGCCTCTCCCTGCTCAGCGCCCCGGGACATCCCGCAAGGCTCCCTTCCTGCAAGCCCTTCCTGCTCGGGATTATCCTCCTCCATCCCAGCACCTACTGGGGAGAGAGGGAGAATCCAGGGAGGGCTCGTTCCCTGTGCCAGGGAGAGAAGGGGCACAAAAGGGAGCAGAAAATCTGAAGAACAGAAAACGAATCCCCGGAAAGCCTTCCCCACGGGAGAGCGGAGGGGCTGGTTCTGCCCCATGGCCTGGCTGAGCCCTCAGAGAATGGCTGGGGGAGGGCAGGGTTCCTCCCAGGGGTCAGGCAGGGTGGGCAAGAGCCAGGAGTGACGTGTCACGAGGACAGGGACCTGCTGGAGATGACATTGAGCGAGTCCAGACTGTGGAGGTCTCCAGGCGGCTTTGCTGGGACCCCTTCCCTCCTGTAAATTGCCAAACTAACCTAAATTATTTGATGCCAATTTTGCCACTTCAAGGCTCCCCCAGCTTTGTGGCTCACTGACACCAGCCCTACGGGTTTGCGCTGTGATTCTCTGGCCTGGGTTTGGCAGGACGTCAGACTAGCTGACCAGAATGGCTCCTTCTGGCCTCCCCCATCTATGGCTCTAGCATGGCACCCCGGGGCTCTGGCTGTTAGTTCATGGAGGGTCTCTGGGACAGCATCACTCCTTTCTCACCTGTGCAAATGACCATCAGGTTCTCCGTTTCCTGGGAGCCCTGGAGATCCGGGACCCTCGGTTCTTCCCCTCGCTCCATCCAGGGGATCACAGCTGAGACAGGGATGGGGAATTCTGCTCGGGGGAAGGAAACAGGCGAGGTGGTGCTTGGTGAAGTCTCCCTGGAGGGCTCGGGGCAGAGAACTCGCCCTCATTTTAAGCCCGACCCTGTTCTCTGCTGGTGGGATATGTTCACAGGGAACCTTGGGGCAGGGTGATACCTGGGGGGATGGGCTGTGCCCCCTGTAAGGGAGTCAGGGATTTCATCACACAGTCAGGGACTGAA